CTGAGAACAGAATGGATTCAAGCTATTGAACCAACGCCTATACGATCGCTCACATGGATTTTCTGCCCTGGCCATGCAGGTGTTGGAGGAAATGAAAGGGCCGACAGATTGGCTGGTGCGGCCACCTTAGTTGACAATACGGTTCAACCAGATAGGGTCGAGATCCCGAAATGTCTCTCTCGCCAGCTGATTGAGGCGGAGGATAGGGAGGCAGAGGCCAGTACTGCCGTGGAGAGGGTGATGCTTTTGGGAATAAAAAACGGAAGCGGAAAATCTGGCATCCTTGCAGGAAAGAACAGAAGAACGTTCAACCAGATGTGCACTGGCACAATCAGTAGAAGGACCCTCGGCAACATTTTGGAGAGAGCAACGGAGCATCAATGGACATGTCCGGAGTGCAGGGATGTTGCTTCCTGAAACAAAAACCAAAAAAAACTTCATCATCCCTTTGACAGTTTTCACTGCGATTCTGCCTTGCCATTGGCTTGGTGGTGACCAGGAGAGGACGTCACGTGTGAGATATTCCATCGAGCAACAAATGACTTGAAATGTGCTGATGTGTATTGAGATCCACAGTCGGAGACCAGAATTCTCGGTACGCCGTATCTGGCAAAATGGACTTTGAGTTTGGTGATTACTGCCTCTGTTGACGCCGTAGGTAAGTAATCTACCTCAATAAAGTTGGAGAAATAATCGACGGTTACGAGGTACTGTCGATTTGTTTATTTCGAAGATATCTGATCCAACTTTATCCCATGGTCTGTCTCCTTGCTCGTGCTGTCTCAGGGTTTCTTTCTGGTTTCTTGGTCTTGTTCTCTGGCAAACTTCGCTGGATTCTGCAATCTGCTTGACTTCAGCTGCCATTCCGGGCCAGAAAACAACTTCTCGTGCTCTTCTCAGCATACTTTCAGTTGACAGGTGAGCGGCGTACAACTTGCTTTTGATTTCTTCTCTCATTGCCTTTGGGACTAGGACTTTCTCTCCCTTCAGTATCAGTCCATCTTGCCAGCTCATCATGTCCTTTTAGTCATAAAATGGTCGTGCCGCCACGGGCACGTTCGATTTGCTGTCAGGCCATCCATTTCAGATGACACTTGCTAGTGTTTGTAGCTCTGTGTCTTTGCTTGTCTCTGTCCGTAGTTTATCCAACATCGCGTCAGGAATACTGCTCCTTGTTTCAGGGGTTTCTGTTGCATCCACGCTCTGGATCGCAGCTCTGGACAGTGTGTCGGCAATGAGGAGTGAGCTTCCTTTTGCCCATATCAATGGGAAGTCATATCGGTTACTCCTCATGATCAATCTTTGGAGTCTTCTTGGGGCTTCGCTGAGTGATTTCTTAATGATCGTTTCCAGGGGCTTGTGGTCAGTGGTCACGTACACTTGCCGTCCAAATGTGTACTGGTCGAATCTTTCCAGACCAAACACCACAGCCAGCATCTCCTTCTCAATCTGCGCCCATCTTTGTTCAGTCTCTGTTAGGGTTCGGGACGCATATTCCAGTGGCTGACCATCTTGCACCAGGCAAGCACCTAAACCATCCTTGCTGCTGTCTACTTGGACTTCCAATGGCTTGTTTAGGTCATAGAATATCAGGACTGGAGTTTCCGTGATCATCTTTTTAACCTCAGATACAGCTCTCTCGCACTCTTCCGACCAGACAAACTGCGTGTCCTTTTTCGTCAACCCTCTCAGAGGTTGCAGTTTGTCCGAGAGTCCACTCAAAAGTTTGGCCTGGTGCCTGGTATTGCACCATACGGCAGAACCACCTAACGTCATGGACATCCTTCGGGGTTGGCATGTTGACGATAGCTTCAACTTTCTTCTTGTCTGGTTCTATGCCTCTGGCGCGTATCATGTGACCCATAAAGATAACTTATGTACACTTTTCCTTTGCCTTTTCTTCGTTCAGCTTGACGTCCCTCTCTCGACATCGCTGCTTCAGTTCCTCACATTTTCTGTCGTGATCTCTCCCAGCGTCTTCAGCTGTTGATCCGTTGCCGATCACGAGGATGTCGTCGGCAACGTTGACAATGCCTTCGGGGTCTTCTAGGGCTGTCGCGAGATGTCTTTGGAATATTTCCCTTGAGACATTCAGTCCAAATGGCAATCTTGTCCAACGAAATCTACCGATAGGTGTAATCATAGTAGTCAACTTGCTTGACTCCGTGTCCAGTTTAATATGCCAGAACGCTTCCTTCACATCCAGTTTTGTGAAGATCTTGGCATCTTTGAACTTTGGCAGGACATCATCCAATGTTGGGAGCTTGTAATGTTCCCTCTGAAGAGCCTTGTTGAGAGGTCGAGGATCTATGCAGATTCTGAGTGATCCGTTTTGTTTCTCCACAGTGGGCTTTTGGCTCACCCATTCTGTGGCCTCTGTGACTCTCTCCAATATTCCTCGCTCTAACAAGTTGTTCAACTCTTCTTTTACTTTGTCCTCCAGCGCAAATTAGACTTTTCGGCAGGGCAGTACTTGTGGTCTGATGCTGGGATCTGTCTTTAAACGAACTGTTCCCAGCGTTCCTCTTTCCTCTTTGTTGACCCTGGCGATCATCTTCTCCTTGTTGATGGTGATGAAAACAGAGTCTTCACATGATGACAATCCAAGCAGACAGTTTAAGTTGTTCTCTATACTATAACTGTGAACTTGACAGGGACTTGCTGGCCCGTTCGTTTGTTCGTCACGTCAAGTGTCGTCTCTCCCACCGGCTTCATCTTTGTCCCATTCCACATATCTAAGGTGTGTCTCGACTTCGACACCTGCTCTTTCCGCACAAATCGCTTCTGGATTGTGTTTACATCGGCTGCAGTGTCGATCTGAAATCTCACCTGACGGTCGTTCACCGTGAGGCAAGCCGTTGCTCTCTGATTTGAACTTACTGCCTGGACTTTCTTTCATTGGCTTTTGCTTCTAGCGGAGGTCTGTTGGACCGCGTTGGGCCATTTCTGTCAAGGCCCATGCTCCCATTCTTCCTGAGCATCGTTCGCATCTTCCTCTTCAAATTCAAATTCGAGTAAATGGATTTTCTTGCATTTAGCTCGAAAATGATTTCTTCCCCCGCAGTGGGAGCATGTCTTGCCCCATGCCGGGCACTTTTCTTTCTTGGCCTCGTGCTGCTTTCCACAGAAGTGTCATTCCATCCTACTGGACTTGGATACTGGCGCTCTATTAGGGTAGCTCCTGGACTTTGGGGGTGGATTTCTTCCTTTGAAAGGCTTAGACTTGACCATCACCTTTTCCACTTTGTGTGGGTGGTCCGTCATCTCCCCCAGGATTGTGCTCGTCTGTTCATACGCTTGACAGATTTCGACTGTGCGCTTTAATGAAATTTCCGGCTCTCTCAGGAGTCTCTCTTTAATGACCCTTCCCACAGTGAATACGATCTTGTCCCTCAACAGTTGTTGTAAACTTGTCGAAGGGCTCGATGAGGGGTAACTTCCAAAATCGGTACGGCTCCAAAACCTCGTTATTGATGGGTTTGCAATACTCTTCGAGCTTTTGCAGTAGTGTGTCAGGCTAATCTCAGCCGCCATGTTGAGTTGTATTCCGAACTCTTTATTTGACTTATTAACACACAGAAGTTATTTCAAGAAACTGCTGCGAATAAAAAATGAGTTTTGTCAGCGTACGGCAGTAAATAATATTGGTCACTATAATATAATATATATTATATCTCAAAATTACTTTGGATGGTCTTTACTGAAAAATAATGGCTGAGGAATTCCGGCTGCAAACACTGTAAACGCAACAAATAAGTATGTCGATAAATAAAATGGCATACACACACAAGAACATAAATCATAGACAATGTTTACAATTACACTTTGCAATACATCAATATCTCGTCTTATAATATTATATCAATGCCTAGCTTTCTTAATTCAAGCGATTGTTCTATAGAATTCTCTCAAACTGTGACAACGTTTCCTCGAAATAAAAACCTAAATGCGTTGTTGTTGTTTTTTACCTTCAATATTCTTTGCAATTATTCATGTTAAAAAACAAATAAATGACATATATATACATGTCGACGTGCCCATTTTCACTGTGCGGCAATGTCTACCAGATTTACGTCTGAAAATGTAATACATCATGTACTAATATTGTTGTTGTCTAAGGATGGTGCGCAGTCCTGAATGAACGGATCTGAGCAGTACTAGTAATTTTATACTCTTTGTATTGTGCAAATTCTGCATAATACCGGAGAGTTTACAGTAATACTACTGTAAACCCTCTCTGATAATACCTTGAAAACAAGTAAGAAAGCTTAACACTTTGAGTTATTTACTTTTTATATTGCGGAGACGCCAATTAAGCTATTCATTGTCTTTTTCTTGTTGTTTTTCCCACCCCCAAAATAGATCAGTTTGCCATATTGAGTTGATAAACCTGTTCAATAATCAAGAATAAATTCCCTTTTTTCTTATGCTATTACCAAACAATGTGGCGTATTGTCAATCTCATGTCTTTACGATAATAATTATGTTCTCACAAACAGGCGTATCAGCTATTTTTAATAATTTCTTAAAAACTGAAGAAGTAATATCTATAATCATTATTGGGAATGATAAATCAGTGGTTGTGCTAATATCTTGCCAAAAATTGAAACTAAAAAGCAAATTTTTATGCTACAACAATAATTTAAAAAGTGTCCAAAACTTTGAAACGCTCTCCTGAAAAATGCCAAAAACGCTCTTACGCCCTTTTGTGAGATGGGCGACGAATTGTTGGTGAGCCCCGAGCTGCTCATAGATTTGCATTCCTTGGTTAGATTTACACTTTCTCATGGCCGCCACCTTAATCTATGTCTTTAAAAAAAGTGCTGCGAAGCGTTTGCAAGGAAGGCTTTTCCATTCCTCCCATAAGTGAAAAAAAGGAACAGTCAAGTGCGTGCAGCACCTTTCCCCCGTTGTCTTCATTTGGCTTAATCAAAATTTCAATTCCCAAATGAACCGGACCGGAAGTAGGCCTACAGACTGGAGATCTACAATCTAGGCCAATGGTAATTCTAGGCCTGTGGTCTAGGCCTATTGTTGCCATGCCCTATTGTCGTAAACTGTAATATTCTGCCTATCGTTTGAGAGGCACAATTAACTGACACCACTGTTCATACTGTGTACCCACGGTTATATGAAAGAGATATTGTAAGCAGTGTATGACTTAAACTTAAGAGTTAAAGTTGATCGTAATATTGCTTTGCCTTTTACGACTTGGTGACAGTGAGTGGTGTTGTATTGTGGTTTGTGTTTGCCAGCGTGTAAACGATCAAGATGGCAACCCCAATGGCGAACGAAGAAGCGAAACTGCCTTCTTCCGATGGACAAACCATGGAGAGAACAGCAGAGTCTCAAACCAAACCAACTTATGACAGTCCATGGGGACCTATAGAGATTCCGACTGGAGAAGATGGTTTCTACAAGGTATCTCTATCAAAAGTCAGAAGACCTTCGGAAGTAGACTCTAGTATTTTTCGTTGTTTTTATTTCCGCAACAAGTTGTCTGATCTACTGATCAAAATCAAGAAGTCAAGACTCAAGTCCTCTCTAACTAGATCTAGATCTAGAGGTTTAGTGTGCAGGCCAAAGGAAACGTGCCGGGGACGGTGGAGATAAGATAATAGGTCTAGATCTAGATTTATAGATCTAGATCTAGTAACTTAATAGGAATAGATCTAGAATCTAGATTCTAAGTCGTAAAAAGTTATTATTATTTATATAAATTTCGGCAGGTGCTAGCAGCACCAGTGCCCAGTGCCGTACTCCTAGCCGACCTTTCTGGGGTGGCTAGTGTAGTGTTAAATTGCTACCTGAACGAATTCGGTCAGGAGGACTTCCGTAACGAGCGGCCACTATGAGACAGAGTAGAACAGAGAGGTAGTCGTAAAGGTTGGGGTAAGTTTGGAAGCATGCCAGTTTGTCACAGGCCCACCCCGCCTCAACTGTGCCTCGCCCAACATGTCAACACACTGTACTATAATGTACTCTAAAAAAAGATGAATAGATTCTAAATTAATGATTGATTGATTATTGATTTGTATGATTGGTGGATTTTATTTTCGTTTACGTTTTTAACGAACATCATGATTTGAATCCCCATCCTGTTGAAATTTTACAGAGTAATTTGCTTAGATTTGTATACAAAAAGGAAGTAAATAGAATAACACTTGAAGCTGAATTGACGTTAGAGTGGGACTCTCTCTACACCACCAATTTGAAGGGTTAGAGTGGGACTCTCTCTACACCACCAATTTGAAGGTGGAGAATAAGAAACTTTTCTTTTAAAACTAGTGTTAAAATGCTGTAAGGCAAACTGGGCAGCCCCCCGTATGGTTAGGGGTAGGGTAAGGGTTGGATCTGATTGCCTGGGGTTTCTGTCAACAAGGTGTGTAGTTGCTCTGCAACTAGTAACTGTCTAAGAGAGAACTTCAGGCTCTGTTCCAGTCTGAAAGGGAGAGAGAGAGAGAGCTCAGAGAGCAACAAGGAATGAATGGCATGTCTCAGAGAGCAACAAGGAATGAATGGCATGTGTGTAAATAAAACTACCTGTTCAACAAATTTTTTCTTACCAATTTGACTCCCTTTTCTGTCAGTCACACATTGACATATATTCTTAAAGTATCAGAGCAAGGAGATGAAGGGTTTTGGAGATATATGGGTCTGTTGGTTTGGCAACAGCTGTATTTCTTGTATGTAACAGTGATGACAAAAACAAATAAGCAGTCAAGGCAAATTATACACTTTAAATTCCATTTGTTTAGTAAACAAAGACTTTGTTCACTATGAACTCCATTCATAATGGTAATATGAATGACAAGCATTGTAACAATTACGCAGTGCACAGAACATGTCATCATTGTTATGTACAAGAAAGGATACACATTGGACATTATCATTGACAACACATCACACTAGTGAAAGGCTGTACAAATGCAGTCAAAGCCTCAGCACCAGAAAAACTCATATATGTCTAAAACAATTTTTAAACTATTAATATAGGCAAAAGCACAAAATCAATGGGGCTGACTTATAACAGTGATGACAAACATGACTTGTACAACAATTGTGACACATTGTAGGCCTACAGGAAAAGACAAAGTCATGCCTCCTTGGAGAAATGCACACTTTAAGAATTAAAAAAACCCAGGAAAGATTTCTTTTGCTTTGAAACAGATATCAGGTCATATATCAAAGACAGTGGACAATCACAATTATGTTGCTAATTATGGCAAACAGTACTCGTACATAAAAGTGATGACAATTTAAAACATACTGGGAAAAGGTAAAATCATGCCTACAGAGAACAAATTTGCACTTATGAGATACACAGATCAATAAAGGCGCATTTTGCTTCTAAATGAATCTTGCATGTATGTAATATATTTTGAAAACTTATTGATTATATTAGCAATGATGACAAATATTACTTGTACAAAACAATGATGACACAATGTATTGGAAAAAGGCATCATGCCAACAAAGAACAAATGTGTACTTTAGAGTTAGACAGATAAACAAGGACTTGGTTTTTTTGTTTTTGTTTGAGTAAAGAGAGCACACATGACAAAAAATGTTTGCTCTTAGTACAATGTAATTTCTAGTACGTCAGTCAGTCTTTTACGGCTGCATGACAACACCCCAAACATCATCACTAAGCACAAAAGCTAAATCTATTACCACAGAAAGATCCATATCTCACGAAGTTTGTTCACACATCGCACTCTTGTTTCAGGAATCCAATGTAAACACCGCAATTTCACTAAAATATTTAATAGGGTAGCCTAAAAACACGCAAAACAGTCTAGTACGTCACATTCATCGCAAGATTCTTGTGCGTCACCGGACACTGACGGCAATGACTACTTTCGTTTTTCTCTTTCCGCTGTTGCTTCCGCTGTTCTGGGAAAGTGGGTAAGGGGAAGTCACTCGAGAAAACAATTATATCCGGGCACTGTTGATGATCCGTTAAAAAAAAAGTAGGCTAAAATTCTGACTTCCGGTACGTCGCAAAGTGACGACGATTACGGCTAATGTTAAACAGCCGACCGAAATCGTAAATCTAGGAACCCGATGTTCTTTTCGTGCTTTGCGGCTTTTGAAGTATTGAATAAACGACGAAAAGTATAAAGATTTAACCAGCTTTGGGGATTCTACTGAAAAATAATGGTGCTTTCTGAAACACCTAGTCCATGACGACACGACGGACGCACTAGTGATCCGAATTATTATTTTATTTGCAAACAAATAAACCGATTTCTTGAGCAAGTGAACATTTCTCGATGACAAATGGCATAAAATCAAAGCACAGGTTTAAAAAAAACGCCCAAAAACACTAAATTTTGGACATTCTTGGGAGTTTGCATTGGTGTGCTGAAAATGACAGTCATAGTCCAGGAATCACTAAAGAACGAACATTTTTGACCCAAAATTTATAAACTCAAGATTGTAAAGCTGACAAGGGGTCTGAAACTGCTAAGGCACGTTCTACATCCTATATTTGACATGTGTATAAGTTTTGGAGGAATAAATACTAATCCCCAAATGCATCACTTTTCATGTACACTAATGTGAGATGTATGTGTTTTTCCCCTCGTTTTGGCAATGGCTCATATATCAATTAAAAAAGAAAAATTTCAGCAAAATTACTTGTATATATATCTGTCTCCCCCCCGGTCAATATCAGTCGTAAGACGCAATATGCTATTATCAGCTACGAGGCTCGAAAGGCAAAAAAGTGACTTATGAAATTTTTGTTTTTTAGATCAATTGAAAGTTTGATGTCTTCTGTTTCATTTAAGATAAAAATAAACGACTATAATCGACTATAATTTTCAAGTTTCTATCTTAATTCTAAGACCCCCATTGCTATGGAGACATGTTGCTCAACTTTGGAGGCCATTTTCTCCTTTTCACGTTTCCTCACCTGGCACAATTTTATAAAAGCTCTGTATTTTCGTCAAATATGGTCATAGTTACTTTATTTTTGTTTTAAATTTTAGGGAAAAGGCGACAGTTTTTAAAAATAATGTTAACTCAGTTTGGAAATTTCCTTCATATGACTTATATTGACCGGCAGGGACACATATATTATATAGAGTCTAGATGAGCCTTTTCATTCTTAATCAACAGGAATCATTTTGTAAACATCACAAGGTCATTGTTCTTAATATGATTTATCTCTATTCAATGCATGACCAAGTAAGTATATGTTACAAGAATGAGTGTTTAAAAGGCAGGTACTGGAACATTTCTGATAAACATTGCAGTTCTCTCAGCCCACAACAATTCAATTGCACCTTTTGAAGTGAAAAATGATTTCACTAAGTTCTGCCAGTTTAGAGGCGGATCAAGTGAAACTGCTCACATTTTGACAAAATTCAACATTTAAAAACTAGCAGATAAAACAAGCTTCTAAACCAAGTAAAAAAAAGACTACCTCTGCAAGTTGATGTTCCTGACTGACCTCCCAATTTTTTAAAAGGCAAAGGAACCCAATCTGAACCCTTTCTGGTTTTCTTAGACCTTAAGTTTGCCAAATCTCAGAGTTGTACACTTGAACAGAAAAAAGACTCATGACAGATGTATAGTTAATAGATCATACCTTCAGTGTACACTGAAGACAAACATATATGCCTGTGGTCAGTGGCTTTCACGCAAACCGCCTGATTCCAAGTGTTGAACTGAACTAAACACTCAACCCATTGGACAACTGGATTTCGATCATGGGTTTTATCTGAGTCTTCCTTGCTGCAAATACTGCAGCAACCGTGCACCTCAATACCTGGAGTTGCTCAGACTAACTTTGCTAAGCACAACTGTTGAAATGCCATTAATGCATGATCTTCAGTAATTTGGGCTATGGGGGGATTCCTGACATTTAATAATTTCGCATGAAACCTTTTCGTGTCAAAGTTCAATAATTTCCTGTTTGAAAAGAGATGCTCCAGGCATAATAGAGCCAATATGTTTTTTTAATCCATAACCTCTGGTTCTGAAACTTTCTTCTGCCTCTTTAGCTGAAGGTTTTGCTTCCTCTTTTGCTTTCTCTTCGTTCGGCCATTGAATTTTTGCATGGATCCCGCTGGTCTTCCTTTACGATGTGATATTATAGGTGGCAGATTCTTTTGTTGAACGACAGGCAGCTGATTCAAAACCGATCCGAATCTTTCGACTTCTGCTCATCAGTATTTCTGTCACCCCCACAAAGCCTCTGTCTGCTCCCCTCTGTCTTCTGTACACTACCTCTCTGTCCTCTGCTCCCCTCTGTCTTCAGTACACTGCCTGTCTGTGTCTGTCCTCTGCACTTCTCTGGCTTCGTCATCCCTTCACCTTTCCTCTTCTACTGACTGTACGCAATCCTCTCTCCCTTCGTCCATAACATCTGTTCAACTCTATCCACAACTTTAACAACAACGAAGTGGAAGGGCTCATGAACACCGCTCTGTTTTATAGAGTTGACTGAGCCTCGCATAAAGTAATACTTTCTACTTGTGAAATTAAATTGTGTTTAATTGAAATAATGATTTACTTCTAAAACAAAATTAATGAAGAAAACTCTTTGTTGAGCTTGAACCATGTTTTTTAGGTAAATGTTTTAGTGAATGTCTCATCTCTCTGTTATTATAAAACAGTTAGTCACTGACTTAGTGAGAGTAAACTGAATGTACTGAATGCGGTGTGCAATAAAAATAATTGATCTCTTCCATGATTTTCCCCAGAGCTTCATGAACCCAATGCTGGATGACATGGAGAAAACAGTAGCAAAGAGCACAGCAATGTTGGACAAACTCAACCAGTAAGGAATTTAAACTCTCTAAAGTTAAACATAGTGTACTTCTACTATAGAGAGGAGTCTGTGTAAACAAAATTCTGCAGGACTGCTGAATTTTCTTCGGTTTGGTTGGGTTCAGAGAGAGGTTTCTTTGGAAGGAAAAAAATTAATTGTGAATTTTTTTTTTTCAGTTTGCAGCTGTTTTCAGATTAGCTGTGTTCAGTTTAAGACTATGCGGACTCGACTGCATTAGTGAATCATTTCTGCTGAATGATGGTTTACTCACCCCCAGTGATGAAAGGGTTGAGAATTTCATCCACTGTTGCTTTTTTAACTCTTTTTATGCAGGCTACAAGCTTTATTTATTAGAGGACTAGACCGGGCTACGGGTAAACTCGGAATAGCTAGATATGGTCATGTCAAAAAGGCTAGCTTTGCTTGTAATTACCAGAATACGCAAAAATATGGCGATTTTAGCTGTCTGAATATTTCAATTTTCCAGTGAATGGCAGTTTTTCTTTGTTTTTGATGGGGGTAGAAGCTTGAAAAATTCTTGAAAACACATAGTCACGACCGACTCTAAGAGGTGGTGTGCGTGAGAGGGATAGACTATTTTGATGAAAATAACTCTGATTCAAGTGCCGTAAATTCCGTTGTGGCTGATAATGATATCATAATTATCAGGAAAGAATTTGACTCATCCAGTAGTGATTCAGATAATGGTGAAGTGAGTACTACTCTGGAATTCAAATCACTCAGTCTTATGAATTATGATGGGTAGGGGTGTAAATCTGGAGCTAGATATTCTAATAATACAAAATCTCAACTTTGTTTATTACAATTTTGTTCTTTGCATGCTGTAATTAATTGTTTTTGTCTTGTACATTATCTTGAAACTGCATGATTCATATTCCAACGTAACTGCCTAATTTCATTAAAATATAAGAGTAAATATAAGAAATGCGGTATTTTGAAATTGCACCCTGAATTCCAACTCATATAGTGTGGTGGCCTTAAGACAGAGTCCATGGGGGTACGATCAGGATAAAAAACGTTAAGTTTATTGCTGTGATACAAGAGGTATAAAAATTAAATTGTTGCTATCCCCTCTCTTTCCTCCTTTTCTTTATCTGGTTTTACTATGCTCAGCCTTATAATGTTCAAAGTGTTCGCAACTCAGGCTATGCAAAAGGGGCTGTATTTTAACTCGATCCCACCAGAGTGAAAATTACCTCATGCTAGTGGTGTAGCGAGTGCTCGGTACTGACATGCAGCAGAGGATGCGGTCGAAAAGCAAGCACACTGTGAACAGTAGGTGAATAAAAACAAAAAAACCCCGAGTTCGGCACTTCGAGGGCTGGTGGGACTGAAAATCATTGACAAGATGTGGCTCTGCAACGGGTTAGGCCTAAACACCTTTTATGTCCATATAAAAATACATTTCCATGTGAATGTCACTGAAATGCATTGATTAATGACACAAAATATGTAAGTTTTCTCCTCTTTCTGCCCCCACCCCCTCACCTCCTTTGCCCCCTTCTCTGGGCTCCCGACTCTTTCTGCAGCCTTTGTACTGCTACTCCTTGGCTCCTTCTTACTGCTGTCTTTCTGTGCCTGATCTTCTGGTAGGAAAGATGTAAACCTAGCCTCAGAGGGCCCGTGTGCAAGTTGCGCACGTTAAAGATCCCTGGTTGTCTAAAGTCGATAAGAGTAGGCTTCGGCCGCCACCCCCCGTGCAGAATTCAAAATTTCCTACCAACTGTAAAAGTTTAATGTGTCCCGCGCTCTCATATAACCTAATGCAGTTGCGAGCACCGTAGGACTCTTACGAAAAAAAAGGAAAAATTCAAGATAAATTGGGTTTTTTTTTCGCAGAAGGAAAGATAAATAAACATGCTTCAAGATTATATCAATTACTCTATATCCCAAAAATTGACGAGCGCCTGATTCCACGTGTCATGACACATTTATGTGTCGAACAATACATGTGTCGTGACGTCATGGAATCAATTTTTGGGCATATGGGGTTATTGGTATCAGCTTAAAGTGTGCTCATTTGCCTTCATTTTGGTGAAAAAAATATCCATCTATGTTGAATAGAAGTCGAAATATTGGCGATTGAAGGCTGTCAGGGTCGCCTGGCTTCAGATGTAAATTATCGAGAAAATGGCTGCCAAAGTTTGTTAACTTCCATAGCCTGAGAGTCCTTTAAAAACTGAAATTTTCCTTTTTTTTAATGCCTTTAATTGACGTTTTTCAGTACAATCCACACAGAAATGTGACATGGAAGGTGTTGAGCCAAAAAACAAAAATTTGATAAAAATTTCCAAACCTGCTGAAAAATGTCAATTTCTTCACTTTCATTATTTTGACGGGCGCCTGATTTCATCACGCTGCCTCACATATTCTCTTTTTTCTAATTTTGCTCCTCACAAACGTGTGGATATGGAAGAAAAATGAACTTACAAGATGAGATTTGTGAACAATAATGAGAACAAAGCCCATAAGTCAGTCAGACAGTCCTTTACTAAACATTTCTGACATTGTTGTTGCGGGTTTGCTTGGAATAGTTTGGATTCATTGCATGCAGAAAAGTGTTTTTGAAGGGTTTGTTGAGGGGTCGGGGGGGGGGGGGGGGCGGGGGGAGTTGTTCAGTGCCCACCACGTTGACCCACTGTGCAGTTAGTCTGATCCTTGGTTTGAAAGATTTGACAGTGGGTGCTTGGCGGGTGCTCTAGTATGGTTTACTCTTTCTTTCCTATAAAAAAACTATGGTATTTCTCTCTCCTCCTCCTTTTTTGTGTTTGTTACTCTCTTATAACACCTGCAATCTATGGCATTTATATGACCTTATTGTGTTGCAAGTGCCGTAAAACTCTTACTAAAACAAAAAGATTTGACAGTTGTGTATTGATGACAAGGATATTGAATTGATGAATGGTACTGACTTGAAAAAATTAAAGGATTGGCGGGGGGGGGGGGGGGGATTATGAAATCAAGATTTCAGTATTGACCAAATCACACCCCCGCCCAACCCTCTCTCTCTCCCAAAGTCTGGGAAGGTTATGTGAATCTAGCTACGAATCCAATAATGCAGGCAACAGCTGGAAAAGAAGCGATATTGTAACAGCTTCCCGATATATTGCAATTTTTCCAGGTGGTTGGGTGCTGTGGTAATTTAAGGAGGGATAAAGAACTTACAATAGATGAGGGAGAGTGAAAGTGAGGGATGACAATGACAGAACTGAAGAGGATCATGAGAACGGCAGAGGTTAAATAAACAAAGGAGAGAGAAAGAAAGTGAGACTGAAAATGTCAGGTCTGTGTGAAGGAGAGAAAGAAGGAGATCTAGGGTGGACATTACAGCACAGGGCTACTATTTAATTGACATGAAAGCAGGCGTTTAGATGTGTGTATTTATTGATGCCCTTGTGGTTTGTTTGCTCAGTAGGAGAAAGTTGGCTCCAGGACAAACATTTTCTGCCTTTTTACACACAATGTGTTGTAAAACAAAGCACAGCTGTTAACAGCACACAGTCTCTGCAGCATATTTATTGATTGGGTTGGGTGCAAAACGGTCTTCTCTGAGGATGCAGATTTTCTTTAGCTGGATGTCTCATCTTTTTGGTATCTTGTGTTGCCGTAAGTTTTTCCAGGAGTTTTGCATCAAAAGAAATATGTGCTCTGGTTGTGCTCATTGTCTGTAATAGAAAGTAAGTGAAGTGAAGAGACAGAACTGAAAGATATTCTTCTTTGTGATGGATACTGTTGATACGACTTTGGCAGCAAGCCACATAATGAATGTGATAAAGGTGAACCCCTGCTCACTATAATCTCTACAGCTTGCTCGTCAGGAAATAAGAAACTCTTATAGTGCTGTTGACATTCTGTATAGCATTTTCGTCAAAAACTTACTTATGAAAACTCTTAATGTTCTTCTTGACAATCTCTCCTGCTTGTTCTTCAGGAAATAACACAAACTTTTATGATGCTCTTGACACTATTCTCTTTAGCATTTTCGTCAAGAGCTTACTTGTAGAAACTCTTAATGTTGTTCTTGACAATCTCTACAGCTTGTTTATCAAGAAATAATAGAAACTACAAAATTGTTCTTGACAATCCCTATGGCTTGTTCTTCAAGGAAGAACAAACTATCTCTAGCTTGTTTGACCTGAAATAACAGAAATTCTGTTGTTCTTGTTCACCAGGGACATGGAGCTGGATAGGAAGAAGAGGTACAAGAAACTAGTGCAGTCTCACATTCCAGAGGAGTTGAAAGGAGGGTAAGTTGGAATCCATTTTTTGTTTCTTTTGCTAATGATTGACTCTTTCTGGGTATGTCCTTATAATATTATTGATAGTAGACTGACGATAGCTTGTTAGTTAAAAGACACAGTGTCATAGATTAAAAGTCTTGATAGAGTTAATAGTGTAAACAGTTTCCTTGAAATTAATGTCTCACCATTACTCCATCACCCTCTCTCATCCTACAAAATGTTATTTTTTGTGTTTAGTTAGGGAAGGGGGAGGGAGTAGGAGGGGTGGTGTGTATGTGTTTGTGTGTGTGTGTGTGTGTATGTGTGTGTCTGTGTGTGCGTGTATTTATGTGTGAGTGAGTGAGTAAGTGGGTGGAAGGGGGGGGGAGGAATAAGAATAAGGCATGCAGCTGGTACTGCTTGCCCATGCTCATCTCATCCCTCTTTCCTTTATGTTGCATGTTTTTTTGTTTGTTTTTTCTAGGGTTTTTTTTCTTCCTTCTCCCCTATTCAACCAGAATTGTGAGGTTTTCCTATCTTGGATTTTTGTATTTGTCTTGTGTGGTCATGGTTTGTATTTTATGATTTTATATTTCATCATGTGTACAGAGGCAAGGATGAAGCTGACGTGATGAAGCTTGTGGACCAGCTGTTGTTCTATGAGGAAGTTGGTGATGGGAACGAAGTTCAGCTCAAGTAAGTTTCCATGTTTAAAAGTTGACAGTGTTTCTTTAGTCTTGCAGGCACTGGTAGTTCAACAGACTTTGTCCTCTTTCGTTTAGATATATCAAATTGGCAGAGGGGTTCGGATAAAATGGTGATCATAATGTCTTTTGACTGAAATTTCCTTTACAGTTCAACCTTTTAGAAGTAGGAAAGAATATGAGAAAAGATAGTGTATAAACCATATTTTTCTGCAGGGCATCATTTCCATTTTGCTCTGTTTTCACTTTTAGCGATATGTGATCATGACTCTCGAGTGCCAAGGTTAAGTCACTGGCTCCCATTATCACAATGCTTACGTTTTTTTTTTGTTCAATTTTTATTTTGTTTAAGGAGTTGAACCTCAGAACAGTTAGGGGCTTGGCTATTGTATGCGGGAGACCTGAGTTCAATTCCAGAGTGTAGAAAATTTATGAGTATCTCAGTCTTTCTGCTGGGATGTTATAAATCCCTCTCGGCCTGGATTCGCTCTGACTGGCAGGGCCAGAAGCCAGTCTCCTAAATGATCTAAACTGTTATGATGGAGAGTAAAAATCAGGCCAAAGGGCTAGTACCCAGATGGCCGCTGGATTGGAAAAGTAAAATATGGGGAGTAAAAACACCTTCATTTAATACAAATTTAATTTCTTTCAGCGACGAAGCCCAGTTGACTGATCTTGACGAGGCAAGTAAACTGACGGTGACGGCTCACAGCTTGGCCGCTCACTTCACCATGCTAGAACCGGGCCCACTCGGCCGTGCCTCCAGTAAACTCTCCTCTGACTGCAGGCTGTGGCTGTCCAGGCTCTTCAGGTAATCCTGTTTTCTTTCTTTCCACCTGTTGTTTGCGCTCATATGCCCTTGGGCAGGTGCGAGCACCGTAAATCCTTACTATAACAAACAATCCACCCCTTGACGCTCATATGACCTTATGCAGTCGCGAGCGCCGTATAACCTTACTAAAATTAAACTAACTTGTCTTACTCAAACAGACAAGCAAACAAGTTTTCATTTATTTATTTATTTATTAAAAAAAATTTTTTTTTTATTTTGAAAAAAACCCACATTATTTATTCATCTATTTATTTATTTATTTATATTTTTGTCAGGTTCAAAGACTCGATGCCAGTGTACCATGACAAGAGGTTTGAAGGTCTGGCCCGTGTTGGACAACTGGCCCTCTACACCAGGTACCCGAAGTATGCCACCGAAGGCTTCGAAGCACTGTACTCCCGGCCACCAGTCATCTACATCAGCGCTGTCGCACCGCCGGGACTAGGACAATACCTCTGTCAGCAGGTGAGAGATAAAGGACTGGTGATAGACAGACATTTGCGGTGTGAGAGATAGTGGACTGGTGTTAGACTGGTGGTGTCTGTGCTGTGAGATATAGTGGACTGACGTTAGACTGGCATCTTGTGGTGTGAGAGATAGTGGGATGGTGTTAGACTGACGTTTGTGGTGTGAGAGATAGTGTTAGATGGTGTGAGAGATAATGGACTTGTGTTAGACTGACGTCTTGTGATGTGAGAGATAGTGGACTGGTGTTAGACTGACGTTTGTGGTGTGAGAGATAGTGGACGAGTGTTAGACTGGTGATAGATGTTGTGAGAGATAATAGACTTGTGTTACTCAGAATAATTATGATGAGAATACGAAGTAAAATTATCCCAGAAATAGCCCAAGAACAGTGTGGATTTATTGAAGGTAAAGGCACTGTAAATGCCATATATTAGCAATGACCACGAAAATCCTTTTTTTGCCATAAAGTGTTTGCAAATAGGTGCATTTTGTAGCTTCACAGAACATGGAACTTTTTGAATCCATCAATAAACAAAAAAGTTACGGATTTTTTAATCAATTAATTTCTGGTACACTTTTATATAATGAAAAAACCCCAAAATATGGGACGTTCTTTGGTGAGTTTTGAGACAATATTCGTCAGAAACTTGGCAACACAGTACATTTTCTAGTGCAGAATCTAGTCCTGCTTTCAGATTTTTCATAGCTATCCTATTCTTTGAGTTATGAAGACGTTTATGGGTAAAAATGTGGCCGTTTTCAGTGCGTTTTGAGACAAAATTTGTCATAGCTCGCCTATTTCTTGGAATATGTAAATGAAACTTGGCAGTCTAGTACATTTTTTAATGCAGAATCTAGTCATGCAGTCAGATTTTTAATATCTGTCATACTTTTTGAGTTGTAAAGACATTAACAGGTAAAAAAAGTGGTGTTCTTTACAGATTTACAAAGATTATCAGTCATATGTTAACCCAAAGTCATGATATTTGAATGAAACTTGGCAACATAAAAGGTTCCTCCTTGCCAAGCAATGCTCTGGATCAATAATGTTTGTCACAAAAAAGTAAGTAGAGATGCCTCCTTTGTTATAGACAATACGATCGTCTCTGTGTATATCCATTGTTGGACAGTGTCCTATTGTGTGGTAGATTAAGATGCGTTCAGATAATATAGTTTACACGTCATGGGAATATTTCGCATGTGTAGGCTACACCTCATACAATAAATGTAACAAATTGACACCACCCCCCCCCCCCCCCCTTTCTCTCTCTCTCTCTCTCTCTCTCTCTCTCTGTCACCGCCATTTCCTCATAAAGTCAGTATTTTATTTTTCTTTATCGGCCGTTTTCTCGTAACTCGAATTTTCTCTATACTTTTTTGAATAACTCCACCATTTTTCATCCAATCTTCATAAACATTTCACAGAATGAAGAGAAGATGTAATACTAAATATTTGTCTGTTGAATTTTTTATATAGGGAATAAATTTTTGTTGGTGGTGTCTGGAGTGTGGATTTTTCACGGATTTTTTGCAAACGTGAATTCTACCTCAGGAAAAAATTTATTAAAAATGTTCTAATTCGTTTAGGAAAATAACAACAAACAAATGTTTAGATCAAATGTTTATGAACACGCATGCAAAAAA